TTCAAGTCATTTTGTTGTGTTGGGTGAGATTTGCCATGTTTTGGACTTGAATTTCTGTTTGGAGAAGAAAATCCCCGAAGGGATCTTTTTGCACAGGAGAATGTACCCGCGGGCGGAACGGCGGGGAGAGCCCTACCCGCCGCCCACCCGTCGGTACAAAGGCTTGTGGGTAGTGTACCCGCGGGCGGAACCACAGGTAGGGGCCTACCCGTGGGTCCACTCGCGGGGAACACTGTGGTGTTCGTTCGGGATTTGTTCCCCGTTATTTGTTTGACTCGGTATTTAGTATTTTGGCTTCCTGTTGTTCTTTTGTGGAACTATTTGAGTGTCTTCTTGATGTTTCGTATGTCTAGAACTATATGGTAGGTATCCATGTAGGACTTTGGTGCCTTGAATCGTGCTAAGTGTTCAACATTGGGTTTCGTTGGACCAAGAGGTGTCTTGTGTGTTCCTCGGAACTATCTTGAGTTTCCCCGTTGATAAGCATGCTAGTTTGTTGTCTTAATGCTAGCGTGTGTGTGGTTTGTACCTTCCGTTTGGTTGATGATAACTTGTGTTATTCATCGTTGTTGTTGTTGGGTTGTGACCCGTTCCTTGATTGAGTATGTTTCATACCTTCGTTGTGATCCGTCGTTTGACTCTCGTTGAGTTGTGGTGCGTGTGTGGCTTTACCTGGATTGCACGATTAGTGGTATGGGACACTAGTCACCAAGGTATTGCAGCGGTCCTCGTGGCGGCCGTGACGTGATTATGGAGTTGTGGCCTGAGTGATGGGTCCACGTTTTTGGGGGATAACATGTGTTATCCGGGCATGTGTTGCCGTGAACTAGTGGTCTTGTTGGTGGTCGTTGGTGGGGGACGATGGTCCCAGGGGAATAAGGTTGGACTAAGAAGTACAGGGGTCCTGGAGGTAATGGTTGGAAAGAAGATACAAGGTTGGGGGTAGCCAAAAGGTTGGAACAAGGCATAAGGAAGGCATACCAACTCGTGATGGGTGATGTTGCGAGGGCTTGTAAAGCCGGCGTTGTGTGTTCTTCTCTCGTGACGTGTGTAGTCACGGAGGCATGTGTTGCATTGGCATGTGTTGCCGTTAGGTGAGTCTTTATTCTTTGTGTGTGGTTAACCTTTGTGGTTTGGGATGTGTTCCCGTGTTATCTTTGAGAGTGATGAGTCCTGTGTTGACTGTTGATCTTGGTTTTGACTTATATATATGTATTCCGTTTCGAAAATGGTTTTTATGACTTATATCTATCTATATATGATACTTAACGGTATTGGTGGGTTATCAGCATTATTCGCTGATCGGGCGTCGTCCCATGTTTATCTTTGTATCTTTCAGGTGATGTTTAGACGAGCGCGATGTCTAGTGCCTGGTAGCTTAGTACCTTTATTCCTGTTTTGTGGCCTGTGTGCCCATGTAGTTGTAGACTGATGTTTTGGGATAGAGGTATACACTTGCAGATTGTTTGCCGTAGCGTTTACCGTGTTTGGTAGACGTGGCGTGACACCCCGTTCGGATTTCTTTTATCCAGTTTCGTTTTATCTTCCGTTGTGCTAGTTTTGTTGTTTAATCTGCATGTGTTAAGGCTTTTATATAGGTCTTGTTTGGGGGGGGGGGTGTTACACGTAGGATTAACAACCCCTAATGGGTTGCTCCAAGAAAAGCCAAGATGAGTATTGCCATGATTTTGATTTTGGAACCCTCCTTAATATTGCCTTGAAGATCTCCCAGAACCAATATGATCAACATGTTCCATAATCGTACCATGTGAACCCTGTGAGCTTTGTGAACCGGTCTCAAGAATATAGCAATCAACTAAAGCATGACCACCATCACATATCTCACAACAAATAGAAGAAGCATGAATGGGATAAGGTGGTACCAGTGATGGTGTAGAGGTAGAAACTGGCATGTGAGTAGGAATCGGATGGGTAGTGATTACCGGTGGTTGAGTCTGATTTTGAGTAAGCTTATGAACCATATGCACCACAGAATCCAACTTAGCAGCCAAAGCAGAACTTTGATCAATCTCATATAGAGCTGTCAAAACGGGCCAGCCCGGCCCATATGGGCTGGCCCGTCTCGGGTTCAACTGGAAACGGAAAACGGGCCAGCCCGACCCATATGGGCTGGCCCGTCTCGGGTTCAACTGGAAACGGGACGGGACGGTGTACCACCTTATCCCATTCATGCTTCTTCTATTTGTTGTGAGATATGTGGTGGTGGTCATGCTTTAGTTGATTGCTATATTCTTGAGACCGGTTCACAAAGCTCACAGGGCCAGTGATGGTGTAGAGGTAGAAACTGGCACATGAGTAGGAATCGGATGGGTAGTGATTACCGGTGGTTGAGTCTGATTTTGAGTAAGCTTATGAACCATGTGCACCACAGAATCTAACTTAGCAGCCAAAGCAGAACTTTGATCAATCTCATATAGAGTTGTCAAAACGGGCCAGCCCGGCCCGCCCGGCCCATATGGGCTGGCCCGTCTCGGGTTCAACTGGAAACGGAAAACGGGCCAGCCCGACCCATATGGGCTGGCCCGTCTCGGGTTCAACTGGAAACGGGACGGGACGGGCCGACCCGTTTTTCCACGGGTTGGGATTTTCCTAACCCAACCCATGTAGGACGGGCCAGCCCGTCAACCCGTTTTTTTTTTTTGTATTTACATTATTAAAATATTAAAATATTTATTATTGTATAGGTTAAGAATTGAACCCATAACCTCTAAGTTAGTAGTCAAGACTATTTCCAATCAACTACATTAACCACGATAAACAAATATGTATATTTATATATATAAAAATATGTATATACACATATAACATATACACATATAAAATTAGATTTTAGTTTTTAATATGTAATTATAATTTATTTAATTTATATTTAATACTAATATATTTTACATATTATATTTTTTATTTTGTAATTATAATACTATTAAATTATAAAGTTTATAAAATATATAATTTATTACTTTATGTAATTTATATAATAAATAAACTTTAAAATTAAAATTTATATAAAGATACAATTAATTGTATTAATTAATACTTGTAATAAATGTAATATAAATTAATTATCAATTATATATTTAATAATGCTTGTGAATGATGTAAATAGATATATAATTATATTAAAATGTTTAACATGTGTTCTTAGCATAGTTAGTTTCAATATTAATAATAGCTTGATAACTTAAGTAAAAGGTCAAGGGTTCAAGTCTTGTTAGCAACAATGTTTTTAAATATTAATAAAATACCCAATTATACAACACATTTGGGGGTGGGATGGGTGGTTATACGGGCCGGCCCGTGTAACCCACGGGCCAACTCGTATAACCCGTATCTCCCACGGGTTACACGGGCCGGGTTGGAAACGGGACGGGCTGGAAATCCTCCAACCCAGCCCGTGTAAAATACGGGTTAAACAGGCCCAACCCGACGGGTTGAGCCCGTTTTGACAGCTCTAATCTCATATATCCCAGCTCCTAGCTTATGATTAGACCTCTCATTGTACCAATAAGCACTATTGGAGCAAATCTTGTCAAGCAAATTTTTAGCATCCTCGGGCTCTAGTTCCATGAAAGCACCATTTGAAGAAGAATCCACAATGACCTTGGAGTTATCAGAAAGACCCTCATAAAAAGAAACAATCAAACCCCTAATAGACATATTATGATGAGGGCATTGTCTTTGTAGATCTTTGAATATCTTCCATGCTTCATACAAAGACTCAGAAGGCATTTGTCTAAACTGTTGGATTTGTTTCTTCAACCATGAAGCTTTTGATGGTGGATAGAACTCTCTCATGAACTCATGATGCATTTGATCCCAAGTTTGGAAATGATCGGGAGGATGAGAATCAAGCCACACTTGTGCATCATCCCTAAGTGAGAATGGGAACAACCTCAAACGGATGGCATCAACTGAAACTCCATTAGCCTTCAAAGTCTTGCAAACCCTTAGAAACCGCCTCATGTGACTCGTAGGATCTTCACTCTTTGAGCCTCCAAATTGATTATTAGAAATCAAGGAAATCATTGCCGACTTTATTTCAAAGTTGTTCGCCTCCACTCCTGGGCAGTAAACACTACTACACAGCAGGCTATTAACGTCGGCTAAATAGGACCTTTAAGGTCAGTTAAATACCGACGTTGTTCTGGGCGACGTTGTATATATTATATATAACATCGGCTATTTAAATAGCCGACATTTATACATATATTTTTAATTTAATTATTAAATATCTACAACGTCGGCTAATAGCAATTAGTCGACGTTGTAATGTTTTTAATTTTTATTTAAATAGTATACAACGTTGGCTAATACCAATTAGCCGACGTTGTAGGTATTTTATTTTTTTTCAAAAAATTATATACAACATTGGCTAATACTAATTGGCCGACGTTGTAAGGTTTTAATTTTTTTTGTAAACATATTACAACGTCGGTTAATACTAATTACCCGACGTTGTAAAGTGTTTATTTTATTTTTAATATATATAAAACGTCGGCTAATAATAAATAGCCGACGTTGTATGTTTTTTTTAATATACAGTTTAAATTATTTTTTCATTTATACCCAAAAAAAAAACCTGCTCAAATTACTCACAACCACAACCACAACCAAAACCTGCTCAATTTCTCACAACCACAACCAAAACCTGCTCAATTATTGCACCACAACCACAGCAAAATATGTAGAATCTAATATTTATAATGAAACAAGTAATAAAAGTAATAAATCTCACAATTTGATACTAATTAATAATACAAGTTAACAATATCAAAACCTAATATCAATTTGTTCAATTTACGTACTTAACCATACATCAACAAAGAAGTTGGTCCATACGTCTCTTACTTGATCAATTTCTTGTTGAGTGTAGCTTGATCCACGAACTCACACAACAATCTACAAAGTTGATAATTATTAAATAATTAGTAAGCTAGCATTTTTAAAATTAGAAAGAGAAAGGTATTATATTAAATTACATGTCTTATCCATTCCCTCGCATGCTTCTTTGGAAAGAATTTCAAGCATGTATTTCATCACGTAATATCCACATACCGTACTTCCAACTTGTAGAGCACACTACATTTGAATTAAATTACATTTAAAATTTTATTTAATAAAAAAAATAAAATACATGTAGTTTTACAAATGTATAAAATGCTTACCAAAACTTTAATCCATTTTGGTGAACGAGTTGATCCATTGCTTCTCAACAACTTTGCTGAATTGACACACCTAAAATTATAAGAGATTAGTATACATAAATACTTTATGACATCATGCATACTTTACTAATTATTAATATGAGAAAATTACACTTTTGGTCCTATGACTATAGTGAGGGTGATAATTTCAGTTCGTGACTTTTAAAACTAACAAATTTAGTCCTTTAAACATGCTTTTTTTCACACATTTAGTCCTTCCGGCCAATTTGCCGGTAGATTTTGGCCGGAAAAAAACATTCATTTGTTTATTAATTTTTTAGGAGGTAAAATGGTCACTTCTGTCTGAGATTTTGGCCAACCAAATTCAAAGCCGCCGCCGCCACTGTCCAGGGGCGCCCAACACCCACCAAAGCCGCAATGCAAATCAGCTTTCCAGAGTCCCATCCTAAGCTTCTCCATAGCCATATATCTTCCCCACACTACCCAAATCTTGAGACTAAAAGCTAACACTGTGAACTAAACAAAATATACGACAAAGAAATGATCTTTAATGGCTAAATCTTTAAATTAATCCCTCCCCAGACACAAATCTGTGTCGAAATATATATTTTTCTTCACTAAAGAAATGTAGGTAGTGTGGGGGTGTATTACAGATCTATGGAAGCTCTTCTCGGGGAGTGAATAGTGGAAAGAGAGTGTTTTTGCCGGGTAATTTAAAGAATTCTAATGCATTTGTTTATTTCTGGGAATTTATGCATGTACATATATTGCAAGCTAAGTATCAGCGCCGCTTCAATTTTGTCGATGTAATTAAGGTTTTTTTTATTTTATTTGCAGGTGGTTGCCGGCGGCCTCATCGTGACGGTGATGATAATTAAGGTGGGAAAAATAAGCCACCGTTTATCCCCCAACAGAAGTGACCATTTTACCCCCCAAAAAAATTAATAAACAAATAAATGTATTTTTTCGGCCAAAATCTACCGGCAAATTGGCCGGAAGGACTAAATGTGTGAAAAAAAGCATGCTTAAAGGACTAAATTTGTTAGTTTTAAAAGTCACGAACTGAAATTACCACCATCACTATAGTCATAGGACTAAAAGTGTAATTTTCTCTTATTAATATTATTATTTATAAGTTCACATACTTTTCAACAATATCTTTGATGTCATCACGTGGCTGGCCTCCAATTGAATCAAACCAATAGATTTCATTAAGTTGAGGACAAATTGCCATCAACATCCAATGGTCACTACAAATCAATAATGTATTAGTTGTAAGTAAATATAATATATAATAGAAGTGTATTATATATAAGTTATTTTATTTGAAACAATTAAAACTTACTTTAAAATATATGGCGCTAGATAGCATTGTTTCTGTCCATATTGCATGGTGACGTTGATATACCGTTAGGAATATATTGTAAATTTTGATGAGCCGAATGTATTTTTGAAAAATCAAGTAGTCCCCAATTTTATTCTATTTGAGTCAGTTTGAGTCTACAGAGTATGGTGCACCCATATCATGCAACCCATGTACAAGTCTGGAAGATCATAATTTATTTGAAGAAGTTAAGCGGGATTATAGCTTAACACAATTATGATGCGGATAAGTCCCCAAGAACCATGCTAGAGGAGTTTGATGATACGCGTGTAAGTTATGCTAAATGATCCTAAGTTCAAATCTCAAGTGAAGCATTTTTATCTTGCTTGGGAGACTAGCTCCACCGTATGGGAGACTAGCCAAACCGTATTGGAGACAATCTAACCTTATGGAGACTAGCTAAAGTGTATTGGAGACCAACCAACATAGGAGACTAGCCTGGAGACTAACTTGGATACTAGATAGCAAGGAGACTAGCTAAAATGGTGACTAACTAGAATAGAGACTAGCTAAAATGGAGACTAGCTGGGAGAGTAACCTACTTGGAGACTAACCAAGGTGAATGCACAAGTTTCACAAGAGCCATGCACCAGATGAAGAAACACACCTAGCATGGTGGACCAAGCATAAAATCAAACAGAGCATCTCACCATGAACAACAATGAAGCTTTTACAGAAGGTTCCAGTATATTATTTTACAAGGATCTTGAAGGAGAAAATATCTGATATATTTTCATCTGAACATCAACTTTTTACGGTGGAACCGGAGACGCTCGAAGGAGGCTGATTCACGGAGAAATTGTTTCATACTCAAGCAAGAATCAGCACATAAATTATTTGATCAACTTGACATGTCAGAGCATTTATGAAGGACAAGAAATATCAAGCTTGCTGAGTCGAACTTATTCAAATTTTGGAGGCTACAAAATTCAAGACACGGCAACGGGCAAAATATTCAAATCATCTGACAAAAGGAGAAAAGACTTCTACCTAATATTTTAGATCAAGTTGACAATATTATTTGATCAACTACATTTCAAAATGGACGATTGAGATCGAAAGTTGATCAGCGGGCAAATATCTTTCATTGGCTATAAATTGTCCAAGCAGACTTGAAGCAATGAACGACTTGAACAACGGCTAAGACATACAAGCAAGAGATACAAGCTATATTTCTAAATTAGCCGAAAAGGGGGAAACAGAGCTTCATAGAATTACATTCAAGTCTGAGTGAGAGGGAAATTTTATCTCTTTGTAATATTCTCTACTGAGTGTAGAAAGAGGGCGGAGTAATTAGAGAGAGTGAAAAACTCTGGTGGAGTGTATCATTGTGCGTAGCACTCGGAGTAAAGGGCAGAGTAACAAGAGGAGCTTGTGAAAACCCTGTGAGAGTGTAGCTTTGTGCGTAGTTCTCGTGGTGTAGGAGTACAGCTTGGTGCGAAGTACTCGGGAAGGCGGAGTAACAAGAGGAGCTTGCGAAAAACCTTGGAGGAGTGTAGCTTTGTGCGAAGTACTCGGAGAAGTGTCGGTGGACTCTTATTCACTATTGTATCTGGGTGATCGAAGAATAGTTAATTTCCTCCTTGAAGTGAAAGGAGAAGAGTGGAAGAGGAAGATTATACTACCTCTGAACCACTATAAATCTCTCTCTCTATTTACTTACTGCTCATATATTTTGTGCATGCTTATTATAACTGCGAACTAACCCGATTACGATTTATCGCATATCTTTATCTGTCTGGGTTTAATAGTTCCCACGTTTGCATGCAAGCCAAACTTTACGTACATCATCCTTGAACCATATCAAGTGTTTCTAACGTATTGCATGTTTAGAATCTCTCTTTGAACACCACACAATTAAGCATAACACTTTACCGTTATATATTCCGCTGTGCACTCTAAGTTGTTTATTTTGTTGATGCTTGTTACTTAGAGTTGAAATTACCAAAGTGTTATTTGCATTGTGTGTTTTGCGAAGAAAGTTGAAAAGTTAGAGAAGTCTATTCACCCCCCTCTAGACTTCTCGCCACCCTTTCGGGACCATCAAGTGGTATCAGAGCGGTTGTCTATTTGAGTCAATTTGGACTGCTTGATAAGATCTCAAAATCTTCAAGATGAAGAGAGATATGGTTCTCGCTCAAAATCTGCTTTTCTCACTTAACAAATTTGATGATTGGAAAATTCGAATGCAGGTGCACTTATCTGCTCTAAATGATGAAATGTGGGAAGTCATCACAAATGGTCCTATCAAGATCATGGAAGTTAACACCGCCGCCGCACTAAATCCAGATGCTCCAAAATATATTCCAAAGCCAAGAATGTAGTAGACAAGTGATGATAGAGGGAGAAATAATTTGGACAACATTGCCAAAGATATTTTGTTCAAAGCGGTCGATGACACCATATTCCCAAAGATTCGAAAGTGCACCACAGCAAAAGAAATATGGGATACACTTATCAGTATCGGTGAAGGCGACAAACAAGAAAAGGATAACAAACTAACCATTGCCATGAAGAGGTTCGAAAATTTCAAAATGCTACCGAACGAAAGCATCACCGACATGGAAGCTCGATTGATCAAAATCATTGGAGAAATCACGGATCTGGGAAAGACCATTACCCAGAAAGAAATATCGCTCAAAGTGTTACGCGGACTACCTACAAGTTGGGATATGAAGGTGACCGCAATGCGTGATCATAGAGATCTAAGGACATTATCTACAGATAAACTCTTTAGTGATCTTAAGGCGTACGAGTTCGAAATGAAGACACGAGTCGAAGAAGAACGTGATGAACGAACATCCGCACTAATGGCCGAACAACCATCCTCATCAAAGTCAGTAGTAAATAATGATTTTTTATCTGACGAAGAATTTTGTTTATTTGTTAGGAAATTCAAGAAGTTCATGCGAAAGAACAAGGGATCACCACAAGGAAATTCTTTTCGAGAGAAAAGAAGATCAAGAAGGGAACCGGTTGAAGATAACACAAATGTGTGTTACAATTGTAGAAAGCCTGGACATTTTATGGCCGAGTGTCCACACCCTAAGGCGGACAAAAATTCGAACACTTCTAATTCTCCACAGGTGGAATACAAATCCAAAGAGAAGAAGTTCAAAAAGGGAAAACGGAAGGCACTAATAAGCGATCCGCTAGAAGCAAGTGAATCCGAAGAATCATCTAGTGACGAGAGTGACTCATCATAAGAAGATACGGCGCTACTATGTTTAGTAAGCAAGACATCCGAACATGAGGAATGCTATATGGCGCGTGAAATCGACGAAGAGGTATCTTCTAGTTCTTTTAGCTCTTTTAGTTCCGTTGACACTTCCTTTGAGACTCAAGAATCATTTCAAAGTCTCATAGAAGATTGTCAAAAGGTCATGGCCACTCATACTCAAATCAAAGAGCGCACTAATACGTTAATCCTTGGAAAGGAAGAAATGGCACAAAAATTGCAAAATGCTCTAAATGAAATGAGTAACTTGAAAGCCGAAAATGTTCGACTTCAAGAAGAGTGCAAAGCTAGAGAGGTTCGAGAACATAACCTTCGGGAAGTAATCGCATCATTTACAAATTCATCCAAAATAATGGATAAAATGGTAAGCATGCAAAAACCCGCTGGAGATGAAGCCGGACTAGGCTACGATCCATCATGTTCTCAAACCCCTGTGAAACTGACTAATTCTACTACTACTTTAATTAATAAAGTTCCGGTGGTAAAATTTGTAAAAAGTCAGTACAGCACAATGAGACAAGGAGTTGGTAATCAAATAAATGCCCAGAAAAATGTTGCAAAGCCGAATCCAAAAATTAATATCTCGGATAGGCAACAAAATTTTAAAAGGCAAAAATTTGTATCTCAAAAGAGAGCCAACGAGTCTAGTGCAATAAAACCTCATAGGAATATGGGAAGAATTCCGAGAATTGGGGCTGGGAGATTATATCCCTCAGAAAAAGATTGGTTGCTTGAAGACAAACCATGGACCAAGTCCAGATTTGCTCTTTTACATAGGATCAAGCAACTATCTGCTTCCCAACCCGCACCAAAGCATTATTCGCAAGTGCGTTATGATTATAGAGTCTTTAATGGTTACAAATCACCTACTCTTGGATCAGTGGGATCTAGGTGGATTTGGATGCCAAAAATTACTAACACAAAAGGACCCAAACAAGTATGGGTACCTAAAAGTAATTAATCTTTTTTGCAGGAAGTTTGGTATTTTGATAGCGGATGCTCTCAACATATGACCAGCAATAAAGCTAGTCTAGTTGAGTTCAAAAGTATCGAAGGACCAAAAGTAGTTTTCGGTGGAAACGATCGATATGGAATGACAAAAGGAACCGGCGCAATTGTGAAAAATGGTCTACGAATTGATGACGTATCCTATGTCGAAGGATTAAAATTCAACTTGTTTAGTACAATTCAATTTTGCGACAAAGGATATCTCGTAGAATTTTACAAAGGCAAATGTCAAGTCAAGGACGAATCTATGAACGAAGTCGTACTCGCCGGATCAAGAAAGAAAAATATGTATGTTGTAGATTGGAGTACAACGAAAGATTCTATGTGCTTGATGGCAAACAATTCGAATGAAGCTAGTTGGGAATGGCACAGAAGGCTAAATCACTTGAATTTCAAAACCATCAACAAGCTTGCCAAAAATAAGTTAGTCGAAGGACTACCCAATATTGTGTTCAAGAAGGATCAAATTTGTGATGCATGCCAGAGAGGAAAACAAATCAAAGCATCATTCAAAGCTAAAGCTCAAGAGTCAACATCAAGACCCTTAAGTCTACTGCACATGGATTTATTTGGTCCAGTAGACCCAGTAAGTATAAGTGGTAAGAAATATACTTTGGCTGTTGTTGATGATTTTTCCAGGTACACATGGACAATATTCATCAAGAAAAATGATGAAGTCTTATCAAAGTTGTCAGAGCTATTGAAGCTACTACAAGTCGAAAAGGACATGAAGATTGCAACAATACGAAC